GAGGAGCGGGATATTGAGTTGGGCGAGAACCCCGAAGGGCAGGAATCCGGTGTTGTGAGAACTACAGTGGACGAGGAGCTTGAAAGATGGGACGAGAACGCGGAAGACTGGGAAACAACCGAACCCGAGCCGTCGAATGGAAAGAGTCTCGAAGATGGGGGTGATTTGGGCGAGGGGAAGAAGCGGAACGACTAAAATGATGGCATTCTACGATGTTTGCGACAACGAATTGGCTTGAATTGGCGAAATGGAGCATGGGATATTGCAGTTCCTCATCATGTTTGGAATGCCATCTAGGTTGCATACCCACTGCGAACGCAGAGTGAGCCCGATCATCAGGACTTTATGCGTAGTCAGTTCCCAACATAACATCACCGCAGCAGACGTAGACTTGGTGCAAGTCGACTTGGATATTCGTTTACAAGTTCATAGCTAGCTCTCGGTGCTGCTTAGGCAGGCAATCCGAGCGAGCATTAACCATGATTCGTCATTTAGCCTGCCCTTCCTTCTGGAATCACGCATTTTCCAGTATGACATTCCGAAAGAACCTTAAGACCCTACACCAAGCGCCATGATCATTCCGTTTTCGAACCACACTCCACTTAAGCAGTGGTAGTCTTAGCAGCGGCCTGGTTGGGGTTGATCTTCTTTCCGTCCTTGTTGTACCTAACCCTTGGGGGAGGGGCCCTGTTGCGGCGGCCTTCGCGCGAGCGGACACTGCGAGTGTGTTAGACATGGGCTCAACCGAATCCTCGTGCGGGCTCAACGTACCGGACGATCTTGCCGTGGATAGCGCAGGAGACGCAGTACTGGAGCTTGAGGTACATCTTGGGGACGGTGTACTCGGGGAATACGGAGGCATCGGAGATATCACCTGCGTGGCGTTAGTCTTCAATTCCCCAATGCCGCCCCTTCTGTTGTGTAGTGTGACGCGGTGCGAGCGTGTCCGGGAGACGTACGGATGGCAGCGGACTCAACCATGTTGCGGATGGTGAATCTCTTGATTGCCTTGTCCTTGGGTGTGCATCGCGAGCAGTTGGAGCAACGGATGGGCTTGACGTGGCCGCGACCCTTCTTGTTTCGGCCGTTGGACGCTCGCTTCTTAACCATGGCTGCTGATTCTATCGAGTTGTGTGAGCGGAGTTTTGGGTTGAGGGAATACGGGGAGCGTACTGAAGATGTATCTAGAAGTCAGCGGTGGGGGTGTTGTCGTGAGAGTCGTTCCTTCCTGACGTCGCGCACTGTGTCGACGAAATTCGCTTAAGCGGATCTAATCTTATCTCTTGGCGTACCGCGCTAGCCGCAACGACCCAAGCACCCTTCGCGCAGCTTCACTGTAAAAGTAAAACAATGTCTGAAGGCATGGCAGATTTCACTATCATTCTTAATGTCACCTTTGGAAGTTGGTATACGCGTTAACTCTTGAACGGGGCGCTTGGGCAATCATACAATGACCAGTATGTTACACTACTAGCTATACCGACTACCCGAAGTTCTTCCCCCGCCGTCATAAAAGCTTCGAGGACATCATGAGCATGCTGTTGGCTGTTCTTTACTTCTTTGAGGACTTCAACGGTGTTCATGAAAGGAAGCATAACGACAGCGTATTTCTGTGGGACGTGTGACTACTCATAGTTGAACTTGGCACACCCTAGAGCCTACGTTCTCGTCAGGTTGCCTACTTTGCATGTTTTCATCTTAATGTAGGCTGTAGACTTGTTTAGAATTTTCCTTGTAGGAGGTGGAAGTAAAATGTATTCAATCTTGACTGCCAAACTGCTAGGAAACACCCAGGGATCTATGGGATATCAGGTTACAACAAAGGAAACAATGCATTCTCGCTCATACTCCAACACAAATTACCTAACGTCCACCCAAATCTTACCGACTGGCGCGGCCAAGCACAAACACACCGACGATGACAACAGCTAGTACACCGATAGCTCCAGGAAGGAGAAGATCGTTCGGTACACCAGCGATGATCTCCGGCTGTTGTGAGATAGGTACTGGCTGATTACGGCCTCGTGATCTAGGCTTCTCTTCCTCTTCATCAAAGTACTGTCTACGTTCGCGAAGAGACGACTCAGGCGGTGTGACAGGCTTGGGCAGTGCAGGTTGTGGGTTGACCTCGGCAGACATTGGTGCCTTTTCAGGATGGTGCACAAAGAGATCTACCTTCTCGCGATGTGCCATGCGGGATAGACTGACAGCCTCAACGAGATCGTCGTTGGTGGTGATGGAGATTGTGTCTCCCTCGTTGTCGAGATAGCTCAAAGCGAAGCCACCCCGGGAAACCTTGCCGTCATCAAAGCTCGGTACTCCTCCTATGGCCTCGACTTCTCCTCCAAGCTTGTTCGCTACATTGTGGATGAGCTCTTCAATACCAGCAGATACAACGACCTGCAGACGGTGAACGCGACCACTTGGAGCTTTGAACTTGAAAGGGAACGGCATGTCCTCCATATGAGAGGGAGGAATACTGGCGACAGCAGATGCGTCTGGTGAGTCCCCGTGATGAGAGGCAGACTCATTGGGTAGTACGCTATCGCCACGGTCCATTAGACCGGGGCGATCGTGATGGGAGACGTATGAGCGATGGTCGTGGACGCGACTCCCACCCTCGCCTGACATCATCGACTCAGTCTCGTTGTCCAGAGACAGCCAGAACTTGTTCCACGCGGGACCTTCGCTGTCGGTCGTGCTGATGTTGTTGATCTTCAAGGAGTTAGCAATGATACTTTGAGAAGCAGGAGTGGGCGTACCTGATCAAGAGTGGCATAAGTCAGCTTGAGAACATCGACCATTCCAACAATCTCCCCTGCGTCGCTCATGACAGGCAAGTTGAGGTAGTGACCATCTGCAATAGTCAGCAATTATTCGAAGAGCTGTAGATTTGGACCACTTACCATGCATCTTGCGCAGAGCGGACTGGATGCTCATGTCCATAGGCGCAAAGTCGGGATGCGGAGTCATCACTCGTACGACACTGCAAGTCATCGGGTCGAGCCCCGCGGCAATCACACGCAAGACGACGTCCTTACTGGTGAAGATGCCGGTGATTGAGCCATTGTCCTGCACCAGAACAGCGGTTGTGTGGTTCTCCTTCATGAGTGACGCAGCTTCCTTGACAGAAGTGCGCACGGATACGGTTGTTGGGGGCAGGCCAGTCAAGACAGACTCGAGAGTAGGACCAGACATCTTCTGACGAATAGCCTCGACGTACTGAATGATCTGTTGCGGCTGGCTGGAGCCCATCTCGGCCTGCACACCCTCCAGAGCATCATACAGCTTGCGCGAGGAAGCGTAGGCGCGCTCCAACTTCTCCATGGCGTCGTAGAAACATTTGGTGATGTCCAAGATACCGGAAATGTCGTGGTTTTCGTCCTATCCCACGTCAGTTCACCCGCGACGCATATTTATAGCCCAACATACCATGACGGGAAGGTGGCGGAAGCCCTTCCTGACCATGAGATCCAGAGCATCGGTCGCACTTGTGTCGGTCTTTGCGCAGAGGGGGTTCTTGGTCATGATCTCTTCGATGGTGACATCGCGAGCCTTGATGCCGGCGCCAACGACGCGGAAGGCCAGATCCTTGGCCGTGAAGATACCCGCAATACGGTCATCGTCGTCGGTAACTAGGACACAATCCTCGCGCTTAGCTGCCATTAACTGCGCAGCCTCGGCGACTGAGGTGGAGGGCTTGATCTGGAGCGCGGGGGAGGGCTTCAAGGCGAGGACAGTGCCGGGCGGGGCTTTCTTGGAGGGTCGCACGCGGCCGCTGGGGTTCTTCTTTTTGTTCAGGTCGGTTTCGATCTTGCGGCGGATGGCCTAGGCATCATGAGTATGTGGCAGTCCATGGCGAGCAGGGCAGCTTACGTCGTCGCGCTTCGACATTTTCGCACGACTGGCGCTGAGCGAAGAGCCGCCCGCATCGCTCTGGGCAACATGAGAAGCATGCGTCTCGAGAGCTGCTGGTCGCGGGATTCCCGAGGGGCTGTGGGGGAATTGCTGGGGCGGGTGCTGGTTCTTGGGCTTGGGCGTACCGCGCATAGTCCCCGTATGCGACATGTTGCTTTTGACCGAGACGTGGAAGTCGGGTTGTTGGTGAGGGGTCAATAGAAGCAAAGTCGTGGTTGCCAGGGTAGACGCAGAAGGCGCAAGCGACGAGGCTAGCTAGACCGCTCTTCCCCTGGCCTGCTGCCATTGCACATGCGCCTGCTCGGCCTACGGGCGACTGCCTGCAAAAGACCAGAATTTTAGCTCGGGCGCTGGCTCCATCTGGTCTGTCCTACTGCCTGGGCTTTGCATCTAACCTCGGAGGAGCTTACTCTGAAGACGGCTGTACCTAGACAGCGCCTATACAGCCTACTACAACAAAGTAAACAGATTCAAGGATCTAGCATTGCTGTAGGTTTCGGGGTTCCGTACTTGAAGCTAGATCAAGGTTTTCCTACTCCTATCGTGGCAGGTCACGCGCATGGTATCTCTCATGAACAGGATGGCTGGCGATGCACCCAGCCGTGTATTGATTCATCTTTCCTTTCACTAAGAGTATACACGATATTACGCCGAATTTGCAGTGTCGATCGTGTTTTCAAGTATATATGAGCCAGCTGGGTGGTTTCAACAGGGTCCATACAGTGAATGCTCCGTGAGTCGGTGTACTCCAGGGCTCCGTAGCCTTCAAGGATACGCTAGCTGGCCAATGAGTGGAGTGACACACTTTTTTGGGCCAACACTCTCCCCCACCAAAACATCGATCAATGACTTGAGGCGAAACCACACAAAGCACCAGTCTCTGCCGCCGAAAGATCGTGTCTGCACCAAGATATACGCTGCCCCGTCCTGCATAGTTCCACTGCAGCAGAGGCGCTCCAACACGTCACACGCGCTCCGCAAGCAGCACTACCAGGGACCAAGCGACCGTATTCCCTTGTTGCCTGTGAACAACACCACGCTTCCTGGGCCGCTGCCCTCCACTACCAATCTACGCATACGATATGTCTGTCCTCCCCGCCGAGGTCCACACGGCGCTGGCGACCCTGCTGCAGGGCCTCCAGTCGCCGGATAACATTCAGCGCACGGCTGCCGAGCAGCAGTTGAATGACGAGTGGGTTGCTCAGAGGCCCGAGGTGCTCTTGATGGGCCTCTCGGAGCAGATCGAGCTGGCGCAGGATACCTCAGTAAGGGTCCCGCTCGGTAGAAACCCTGGGTTCTAGCTTACAGGCTGTGTTAGACACGGACGTTCGCCGCCGTCATCTTCAGGCGACAGTCGTCGAAACCGCGAAAGGCGCCCTCAGGCCAGACCGCCGACCTCTTCTTGACCCTCAACGCCCCCGAGCGCGAAGCCATACGCGCGAAGTTGCTCCATTGCCTCGCCAACGAGACGGACAACTCAGTGCGCACCAAGGTTGGAGATGCTGTTGCCGAACTCGCACGTCAGCACACAGATGAAGGTACGAGGAAACGGGACACACTACAGGATCATGTCTAAATTCATCTAGGCGTTGCATGGCCGGAGCTTCTGGGCGCGTTGTTCCAGGCAAGCCAGTCCGCAGACCCCGCGCAGCGCGAGAACGCCTTCAGGATATTCTCGACAACCCCGCAGATCATCGAGAAGCAGCATGAGGACGTAGTCTTAACTGCTTTCAAGGGCGGCTTCGCCGACAGCGAGACATCGGTTCGTTTTCCGCATGCACCTGGAAGCTCTCGACTTACATCTCACAGGTCAAAATCGCATCCGTCGAAGCCTTCGCGTCCTTCTTCCGCTCAATCACCAAGAAGGCCCAGTCCAAATACTATTCTCTCGTCGGAGAGATCCTCAGTATTCTACCCCCGATCAAGGAGTCTGGCGATGCAGAGCTCCTCACAAAGGCCCTCATCTCGCTCATTGACCTTGCCGAAGTTGCGCCCAAGATGTTCAAGCCTCCGTTCAACGACCTCGTTCAGTTCAGCATTTCCGTTATCCAGGACAAGGATCTAGGAGAGACGGCTCGGCAGAACGCGTTGGAACTCATGGCGACCTTCGCGGACAACGCGCCTCTGATGTGCAAGAAGGATGCCAACTTCACCAATGATATGGTTACTCAATGTCTGTCTTTGATGACCGACGTTGGAGCTGACGATGACGATGCTGAGGAGTGGAACGTGTCAGAAGACTTGGATGAAGAAAGCGACTCGAACCATGTGGCTGGTGAGCAGTGTATGGATCGCCTGGCAAACAAGCTCGGTGGACAAGCCATTCTGCCTCCGACGTTCAACTGGCTTCCGCGCATGATGACTTCTTCGGCGTGGCGCGACAGGCACGCTGCTCTCATGGCGATATCAGCCATCTCCGAGGGTTGTCGCGAGCTGATGGTTGGCGAGCTTGACAAAGTCCTGGATCTCGTATTGCCTGCGCTCCGAGACCCCCATCCACGAGTGCGATGGGCCGCTTGCAATGCTGTCGGACAGATGTCGACTGACTTTGCCGGTACCATGCAAGAGACGTACCACCAGGTCGTTCTCCCCAACATCATCCCTGTCTTGGAGTCTTCGGAGCCTCGCGTGCAGGCGCACGCTGCTGCTGCTCTAGTCAACTTCTGCGAGGAGGCTGAGAAGAACATCCTTGAGCCATACCTCGACCAGCTGCTTAACCACTTGCTCATGCTTCTGCAGAGCCCCAAGCGTTTCGTACAGGAACAGGCCCTGTCTACTATTGCCACCGTTGCGGATTCCGCAGAGGCTGCCTTCTCCAAGTATTACGACACGCTTATGCCTCTTCTCTTCAATGTCCTACAAGAGGAGCAGTCCAAGGAATACCGACTTCTCCGTGCCAAGGCCATGGAGTGCGCGACGCTTATCGCTCTCGCTGTCGGCAAGGACCGTATGGGCCAAGACGCACTCAACCTTGTACAGCTGCTCGGACGGATCCAGAACAGCGTTTCCGAGGCCGATGACCCGCAAGCATCCTATCTCCTCCACTGCTGGGGCCGCATGTGCCGTGTTCTAGGACGGGAGTTCGTTCCTTTCCTTGCTGGTGTCATCCCACCACTGACCGAGCTTGCTGGAGCCAAGGCTGATATCCAACTTCTTGACGACGAGGAACAAGTTGCCCAGATCCAAGATGAAGAAGGCTGGGAGTTGGTTCCGCTCAAGGGCAAGGTTATTGGAATCAAGACCAGCATCCTTGACGACAAACACATGGCTATTGAGCTCATTGTCATTTACGCGCAAGTTCTAGAGGACGCTTTCGAGCCCTACGTCAACGACATCATGGAGAAGATCGCGCTCCCAGGTCTAGCTTTCTTCTTCCACGACCCCGTGCGAGTGGCATCAGCCAAGTGTGTTCCAGCGCTGTTGAATGCGTACAAGAAGGCCCACGGTCCGGAATCTACACAACTGAGCGAGCTGTGGGGACGCACCGTCGAGCGTGTCCTCGAAGTGCTCAGCACTGAGCCCGCCATTGATACCCTCGCCGAGATGTACCAATGCTTCTACGAGTGTTTAGAGTGCATTGGCCGCAACTGCCTCACCAACGCACATATGACGACCTTCATTGAGTCCGCTAGAAGCGTGCTTCAAGACTACCACGTACGCGTAAAGGAACGTCTAGAGGAGCAGGCCGAGAATGATGATGGTGAGGAAGCTTCGGAAGATCTGTTGTTTGCCATAGAAGACGACCAGACGCTCCTCTCAGACATGAACAAGGCGTTCCACAGCATTTTCAAGACCATGGGCACAGCGTTCTTGCCTTACTGGGCTGAACTAACCCAATTCTATAGCTTGTCCGCTGCTAACCCAGACCCCACTCAACGCCAGTGGGCGATTTGCATCTACGACGATGTGCTCGAGTTCTGTGGACCAGAGTCGTGGCAATACAAGGACCAAATTATCCAACCTCTCATCGATGGTATGCAAGACGACGTCCCTGCCAATCGCCAGGCAGCAGTATACGGAATTGGTGTTGCAGCTCACAAGGGTGGAGAGAACTGGTCCGAATTTGTTGCGGCCTCCCTGGAGACGCTCTTCCAGGTTACACAGAGACCAAACGCTCGCGCGGACGACGACATTTTCGCGACAGAGAATGCTTCGGCTGCAATTGCCAAGATCCTACACTACAATGCAAGCAAGGTCGCAAACTGGGACAGTGTCGCCGCTGCCTGGATGGATACACTTCCCATCACCAACGACGAAGAGGCTACACCATACGCCTATGCCTTCCTAGCTCAGCTGATTGAACAGTAAGTTAATCTAGCACCACGCCGCGTATGCGTGAGATCCACACTAACATCTTTCAGACAAAACCAAGCTGTGTTCTCTCAACCCGCAAAGGTCTTCAACTACGTTGTGCAAGCCCTGGAGGCCGAAACTCTGCAAGGACAGACCGCGAACCGCGTTGTCGCATCCGTGAAGGCTCTGATCCAGGCGACCAGCACCGATCTTGGCCAGGCTGCCGCGACTTTGACACCAGAGCAGCAGCGTACTGCGCAAGCCTACTTCAGCTAGAGGCTGACTAGGCCGTTCGTAAATGGTCAACTTTATGGACTTGTGGAAGGGAATCCACATGGGACACGATGCATGAGCGGCGTTCGATTCGGAATTGTGACATGACATCAGCACGAAGACACGATGAAAGAGCATGACGTGAGGGTCTCTGGGCCTCGTCATTGGTAACAAGGCTGGCGAAGTATAGAGAAGCATCTTTATCACGGTGGAGTGCTTGTTTTGGGTAGGACAGGTTAGGTTAGGCGGTTAGGTCAGGTCCGGTCCGGTTTTACACATATTCCCCCAAAGTTTCCCCTTCGTCCCCTCACCCACTTCGATCGTGCCATGGAATGGACTACGCTGGACCAGCTTAGTATCGAGAAATGAGCCACCATTATTCAAGAACCTTCACTTTGCAGTGTGAGATCACGTAGAGTGCCACGAGTCGCTATGACATCTTCTTCACCTCAATCCTGAGAATCTGAAAGCGAGATATGAATGTGTATGCAGTATCGCCTTTGTAGCATCATGGAACGAAAAGGCCTCAAATTGCTCATGTATTCGAAGCATCAACGCCGGCCGGTCCATGTACGGCCTGGGATCGCTATGCTAGAAGGGGATATAAACACCAAAAGCGCCTCGAAGATATACAGCACCGCCTCAAACGACAACAAACGGTTCGTCTACGCGCCCTCACTACCAAACTCCTTTGTCCACTCGGCGCTGCGGTCCAAATCCTCTCTACTCACAGTTGGTCTTGAAGCCTTGATCGCCTTGACGAAGTCCTTGACCTTTAGAGGTGGCTCGAGCAGCTGATCGCCGTCTAGGTCTGTCCATGACTTCTCCTCTGCTTGTGGATCACCAGGTGAGCACGGTGTCCACTTTGTCTGACCGTCTACCTCGACGGGCTTGTAGTGTGTTGCTGTCTGAATAAGTCGCACAGGCTGCATGAGCGCGTCTTGTACCGCAATCGAAATATCAGACCCAGAGTATCCCTCACTAAGCTCGGCTAGCTTCTTGTAGTCGGCCTGGCTCAGCTCGCAAGGTGTGTTGCCAACCGCAAGCTCGAACATCCTCATCCTGGAGGGCTGATCTGGCAGACTGATATGGACTCTCCGCTGGAATCGTCGTCGGATGGCAGAGTCGAGTTGCCATGGGATGTTCGTCGCACCGAGAATAAGTACGCCCTTCGAATCTTTACCGACACCGTCCATCTGCACTAGGAGTTCTGTCTTGATACGTCGTGATGCTTCCGACTCGCCCTCACCTCGAGGTCCGCAGAGCGCGTCGATCTCGTCGATGAAGATAATCGAGGGTTTGTTTTCGCGAGCCATGCCGAAGAGCTGCTTTACGAGTCTAACATCATGTCAGCTGCCGCGTCGCGCCGAAGTGGACTGTTTCACCTACCGTTCTGATTCACCCATCCACTTGCTGACTAAATCGGAACTGGAGACACTGAAGAATGTGCTGTTCGCCTCGGTAGCGACCGCCTTTGCCAGGTAACTCTTACCGGTACCAGGTGGCCCGTAGAGAAGGATACCCTTCCATGGTTGTCGCTTTCCGGTAAACAAGTGAGGAAACTTGATGGGTAATATAACGGCCTCCTTGAGTGCTTCTTTTGCCATCTCCAGACCTGCTACGTCTTCCCATCGAATGTTGGGCTTCTCGGATAGAATGGCTCCAGCGAGCGCACCGCGGAGCTTTTTCGAGTCGGCGTCTTGTTCGCCTTCGTCTTCGTCACTGTTAGAGGTCAGTTGCGAACTCTCGGCAGGCGCAGACTTGATATGTACCCTCCGCCCTTTCCACTTCCACCTGCTGCTTTGCCGTTTGAGCCCATGGCTGCTGGCTTCTTGCGATTCGAGGCGTCATTTTGGTTCAGATGTTGTTTGAGCTTCTCGGCGCGCTCCATGTATTCGGCTACCTTGCCGCGGATCATATCCTTGGACTTCTGGTTCTTCTCCCCTACTGAGCGTCAGCATGTTTGCTAATCTACAAAATCCGACCAACGTACATTTGAGAGCGAGCATGAACAGCTCGACTGCGCATGAAGTTAGCATCCATATTTACATGGTCTCTATCCTGTGGCACTGACGAGCACTGTAGTACAGCTGATACGCCTTCTCATATTCGCCTGCCGTGTCCGTCTCAATTGCCTTTTTGACCGTCTCGATGGCCCGGCCGAGGAAGTCGGCGTTGCTCATTGTGAAGGCCGGAGGTCGGTGGAGGCTTCCGCGAGCGTGATTCTCGGAGCGCGCGTCGGCTGGTGTGTTGATTGATCGATGTATGGGCGCGGAGGGCGATCTGAGTGGGGCAATCGCGTGCAGGCTGCCTGTGGGTTCGCGGGGCCAGGGCGAGTATGTGAGGCAAGGGAAGGATTCGCAGCTTGGATCGACGATGTTTAGGCGAGGGTGCGCTCGAGATTGTTTCGCGTGAATGGGCTTTGCGGTCGTACACGAGAGGTGCCCGTCGCTCCAGGTACGGCCAAGGCACCTAGCCCCGCGTTGCTTCTAACCGGATTGAGGGAGTTCAGCATCCCACTCGCGACTTCCGAACGAGACTGCACCAAACTTTGCAGAACGCGTCACTCAGCATCACCAAAGCCATGGCAGACGTGCAAAAGAAGCTGCAGGCGCTGTCTGACAGCTACCAAGGCCTCCAGGCTGGTAAGCCGCGCCCAAAGATGGTCAATCTGTAGCTAATCTCGGAACAGAGCTCGGAACTGCAGTAGAGGCTCGCCAGAAGCTCGAATCGCAACAACAGGAGAATAGTACCGTCAAAAAGGTATGCGGAGATTGCGCTTGGTCTCGGATCACATACTGAAAGACGTCATCTCAGGAGTTTGACATCCTCGACGACGATGCAAACATCTATAAACAAATTGGCCCAGTACTGCTGAAGCAGGACAAGACGGAGGCAGTCATGTCGGTCAACGGTCGTCTCGAGTTCATCGACAAACAGATGTGAGTGGGCCAGTTGGCGTGACGAGTCTCTTCTGACTGGATGCAGCAAGGATATCGAGAAACAGATACAGGGTATACAGGACAAGAGTGAGAAGATCAAGGGCGAGGTATGTCTTTCGAACGTGTCTCGTTACGCGGATTGCTAATGCCCAAATCAGATTATACAAATCCAGTCGGCAGCACAGCAATCACAGCAAGCAGCGGCATCATCATGAAACTTGGAGCACGGCAGATGTAAAACAACAAGATACCCATTTCCACCGAGAAACACTTTCATCTTCGTACAAAATTCTTCCACAGTGAGGCTCTCTTCTGCTCCGTGGTAACTGGTGCGTGCGGCACTATTGTCGGCCACGCTGCCGCCGACTCTTACACCCAGTATCTCAAGGAGGAACGCATCCAACACCAGAGCGTCTGGGCATTTGGGACTCAAAGGTATGTGAAGGAAATTCTTTGTGCGTGACTAGAACTCGCTCCTAATGGCAAGAGCGAGAGCATCCAGCCGCAGCCTAGCCCAGCATTCCAGCACTCCAATACTCTAACCTTACAACACTCAAAGACTATCTTCATCCACCTCATCACTACTTTCCGACATATCAATCACTCCATTCAAGAGAAAATCAGACAGGTGCCCCGAAGTCGACATTGCCTGAAGATGTCCAGTTTGTAGGTTGTTCAGGCACTGTAGCCTTCTTAGCTTTTTCAGATACTGGTAATTCGCGGAAACAAAAGCTGCTTATCATTATTGATAGCGACATGCCTGTAGCCTACAAGGGGGTAGAGGAACTAGACTTTGTGTATCACTGATTATTCTAGAAAACCAGTTGTTAGCGAGTATTTACTAGAACCATGTGAGCTGCAAGTTAAACAGATCGTTGTCGACCATGTTGCCTATAGTTAGTCGCGCCTCCTTTTCACCCTATCAATCGCCATCAGATCATGTTTATCACTCACCCTCATTCACTTCAGAATGGATCGTTCCTACATTCATTCACCTGTTCGCGGGCGTTGGAGCGCTATCAATGCACGTTTGACGACACGCAGCTAACTATTTAAAGGTTAGCGCATGTACCTGCGGGCATCAGATGTCGGATCAGGCAACAGTGGGTCGTCTCAGATGCTCCTGCAATGATAGAACACGACCTGGAGAGGCACAACTTTTGTATCCGTGGACCCGAACGACTAGTGTTAGCAGCGGGCAGTGCATGAACACGTCTCGGGAAGAATTCCTTTTGTTTCTCGGAGCGTTTGACGGCGCGGCTCGCCAATAAGAAGCACGGCACCGCAGAAGCTGTTACAGAAACGGTGCGCTTCTGACCGTCTATGCTATCGTGTGGCTAGCACGCTGTCGACGCGTTTGCTCGACTCGAAACGGCCACAGTGCCACAGTCGGTCAACCGGTGGGTGGGCGTGTGGAGGTGTACCATGGGGAGAGGCGAGGGATTCACAGGCAGCTGCAGCCGCCCTTGACACAATCGGAGATAGCCCTGCAAGCCATCCAAACAGAAGGCTTGTAGTCACGTATGCCGCGACTATCTGTAACAGCTGAGGACCAGGCTAGATCTGGCGAGCCGTTGCTTCAGCCTTGCGCAGGGTTCCGTGATTGGGCGCGCTAACCCAACGCCGCGGGCTTTTCGACGGACTCCTGGCAGCGAACACTCCTCTGGCCGTCTTCACACTCGACCTCCTGTCGCTGAGCTTCCCTTCTTTGTACCTTGATATATTACGCTGTCTCTTCTTATTGCCCGGCCTGCCTGTGCATCGCAGCAGACCGCATCCCTGCACAAGTGTCAGCCTCCCGCGAAACTCATCGAGCTCTCCTTTGAGGCACAGGCAAGTTCGCGCTCCTACGAGCGTCCGACGTTATACTGACTTTGGGCAGCTGGGACTGCAGGAGAAGACTCGTGTGCAAGCATCAATACCTTCCTTCGTGCTCCCGCCCAGTCTACACTGTACGTGTGCCAGCATCCGGTCTGCGAGCACTTGGGCCGGCCGTACTGACAAATTGCCAGAATTTCACCCTCTACACTTCAACCCGCAGTCGACCACTTTCACCGCCGCCATGTCTGCCAGCCACATTGCCGCCAACAGGAACAGCACCCCCGAGGGTTCCAGCTCGCTCCGTCCCCCGCAAGCCCGAACCTCCCTCGGCGCCAACCACCACCTCCGTGCCTCAGCTGATCTAGGTGGCTTCCCCTCCCCACTTGCCAACCGTGGCATTCGTCCCGCGTCTGAAATCTACTTCGGGCGCAACAACACGCAGTCGGGCAACCCGGATGAGATGGAGCGCGCTGCTCAGCAGTGGCTCGCCGATATCGACCAATATGAGAACACACTCGAAGAGATGGCGACAGCCACTCTTGATCAGGACTTCAAGGACGAGCTGAGCGCTATTGAGCAGTGGTTCCGCGTCCTTAGTGAGGCCGAGAGAACTGCAGCCCTCTACGCTCTCCTCCAGCAGACGACACAGGTGCAGATTCGCTTCTTCATCCAAGTCCTGCAGCAGATGTCCAAGAACGTGCCCATGTCTGGAGTTCTGTCCCCTGCCAACTTTGGAGAGAAAGGTGAGCTTGACAACACTCACAGGCTACTTTCCATGCTGACGAGCGCTAGATCCCATGACGCAGAAACTGAGCGACGCCATGAGCAAGCTCGGCACTGGCGAAAACCGCCATTCCATGGGCCTCGGCCGTCCGCCGCCATCCCCGGGTGCTGGAAAACGCAACTCGGGCTTGGAGACATCCCAGATCAACCGCATGTTCCCGGACGCCGCGGCTGCCATCGCCAAGCAGAAGGCTGAGTTCACCGACGTTGTTGGTGTTGCGCCGGCGTCCAACCGCAATAGCACCGTTGGAGATCGTACTTCTCTAGCGGCTCCCACCATCTCCGCCCCTGAGGACAGCAAGAGAGAGAACAATGCTCCGCCAGCATCACCCTGGAACGAGGGCGCGAACCGTCCCAAGTCTTCGGGCCAGCAGCAGCACCAGCAGCCACCGATGGGCCAGTTCACTCAGCCACCTCCATCCGCCGGTCTTCGATCTCCCCGTCTTCCTCTCCAGAACGATAGCAACAATGTCCAGACCACCACCTTGAACGCTCTCGAGGCCAACTCCTCTAACATGCCGCTCCTTTCGCCTTCTTACAACCCAGGTGGAAGCTGGGCTTCCCAGCTGAGTACTCCCATGGTCGCCAATTTCCAACAGTCGAACAACCAGGCCGATATGGTCGCGAACGCTACTGCTATGAAACTGGCCGCGCTGTCTACAGTCAACAACCGCATCCAGCTGGACGATGTACGCAAATTCCGCCGCGCCCGATCTTCTGACAACGGACCCATGTCCCCCGGTATGCCTCAGATGGGCAACGGAAACATCCTGATGACAAACGAGCTTGGCCAAGTATTGACACCACAGCAAGCGGCTGCTCTTCAGGCCCAGCAATTGGCTGCTATGCAAGGCCGCCGATCTCGCCCCAGCTCCCCCGGCTTCGCAATGCAGGGTCAGGGCATGGGCGCCATGGGCAACTTCACATCGCCTCAAGCTAATGGGTTCTTGGCTGCTGACTACGGCGGTGGCATGATGAACAACGGTATGGGCGCTCTCAACCTTGCTCAGTTTGGTCTTGCCGGCGGCAGTAATGAAGGCCATGGCTTCCTCGGTGACAACATTGATCGCGGTCGATCTCCCCGAGGCCGTCGCGGCAGCTCCAAGCCCCCGGAGGATCCTACCGACCCTGGTCTGCTTTCGGACATTCCCAACTGGCTTCGGAGTCTCCGTCTGCACAAGTACACAGACAACCTGAAGGATCTCAAGTGGCAGGAGCTTATCGAGCTCGATGACGAAGGCTTGGAGAAGCGTGGAGTCAATGCGCTTGGTGCACGTAGGAAGATGCTCAAGGTATGCAACGCCGTTCCCATAACTGTATGAATTCCGATAACTAACATTACAATGCAGGTCTTTGAACAAGTCAAAGAGGCTCAAGATCACGGCAAGCTGCGTTAAGCTCGCGGCTTCTTTCTTCTGCTTCATCGCCTTCGATTATAGATATACGACCGAAAAGCGACAACCCCAGCTGGTACGGTTTATTGGCCGTCAGGTCTGGAACGCATATGATTACATGTTTTGTGCATTGAGACCAGAGACTTGGATGTTGCTACGTTGGCCTGTCGTATCACGAAGGCTGACTGTGGGTTTATAGTGCGATTATTTCTAGTTCATGGTAGTAGGGTAGAAAGGCTTGCGAATGTACGGGATTAATAGTGACACTATGTATGTAAGTTGAATTCTTGAATGTGTGGCACGCAGGCGCTTTCTGTTCATGCCTAAACCATGTTGAGAATCTGTGGTTTTCAATGTAACGTCTTAATGAAGAAGGAGCGGCCCCCAATGCTGATGCTCATCCGACTCTTGCCGAGTCGGCAGGCGTCCAGCTTGACACGCTGTTTAACCAGTCAGATCAGCCCTACGCGTCGTGCTTGTCTTCCACTCACCGGAACGTATGATTATTTTTGGATTATCTTGACTTTGACCTTCCATGGTTGGCGCGCAAGGTCTCCTTTGGCGGTGCCCCCAATTACGGCCGTGATCCCATCGCAACCTACGGTCTTCCTCTCGTTTTTCTCCAACCATGGAGCTATCGTCGGATCCGAAACGAATTGAACGAGTAGTGCTGGCCTGTATCCAGTGCCGCAATAGACACGTAAAGTGTGACTCCACACAACCCGCCTGCAACCGATGCAGGCGCGACAGGAAAGAATGCATCTATCAAAAATCCAAAAGAGGAGGTCTCAGCAAAGCTGCACTTGCGGAGCGACGTCTACGACTGCAACAAGAACCCAAAAACATGACCAGCGGAAAACTCCAGTTACCAGCGCCATCCCCATCCGACCAATCTAGCCTGGGATCCTTTGAGAGCGGTTCATCAGGTTCTTCCATACCTCTTCGTGGACGGAACGAGAGCCAGCGAAATCGAATGATCTTCCAAGTCGACAATGAACGACTCATCGATTTGTACTTCGAATATTTTTGGTCTTCATGGCCAGTTGTACTGCCTCTCCACTATCTGCAAGCCAGGCGCCTACACGAGAACCATGGAATGACCACACTACTATCCGTCTTGGAATGGATTGGATCAATCTACGCCCCTTGGACTCCATCGGAACCCTATCAAATGACAGCATTAGAAGCTGTCACGTCGCCCGACCTGGCGCATACAC